GAGTCCATCTGCCTTCCTTGCTGGGTGGGTGAGGCAAGGTGCCAGGCAAGGCTGGGCCATGGCTGACACCATGACTTCTCTGTGACTTTGGGCAGGCAGGGGGCTCTGTGGCCCTCAGTTTCCTTTCTGACAGGATAATGGCTTCTGTCTCCCTGCTTGGGCACTCAAGTACATCAGAAGAGGGTAGTTTGGGCCATTTCTGTGGAGAGGGGATGGGTTGGGGTGGCCTTGGTTTGATTGAGCACTGGGTGAAGCTGGACAGAATATAGAGAAGCAAGATGTGAGTGGCAGTGTCCTGTGGACCTCCCTGAGGTGGGGCCATTTTAATCACCCTGGGCAGGAAGAATAGGCAGGTATGGTTGGCCTGGACAAGGGTTGAGTGTCTATGTGAACTCATAAGCCTTGATCCCAGGCTGGGAGATTTCCTATGGGAATAAGGAAAGCCTTAAGAAGGGCAAGGATGATCTGATCTGATTCTTACCTTTCTCCTTGCCCCAGCATCAGGTCTGGCTTGGCACAGACACCAGAGGATGTGAACTAACTGTGTGTGTGTGTGTGTGTGTGTGTGTGTGTGTGTGTATGTATCTCAAAGACATCTCTTCTGCCCCCATGCTGAGTCTCACCTCCCTGTACCTTCCATCCCCAGAAATACCCACCTCGAAAAGACTTGGTCCGAGCTGTGTCCATCCAGACGGGCTACCTCATCCAGAGCACTGGGCCCAAGAGCTGCGTCATCACCTACCTGGCCCAGGTGGACCCCAAAGGTGAGGGCTTGGCCCTGGCAGCCTGTCATGGGATCCTTCCCTATACTACACGGGATGGGCTTGATCTACTAGGGGTTCAGAGGCCATTTGTTAGGAGATGTCTTGTACTTGGGCATCTCTACCCAAAGTCAATGGAATGAAAAGAATGGGCCAAGGTGGTAGCTTCTGCTCCTCTGAGGAGACTTGGAACTTTCTTCCTGGGCCCTCACATTTCCAGCTCAGATCTGTTTCTGTTCACTATCTGTTATAGCTCTGTCTTTTGGGCTCCCATCCTCTGTCTATTCAGGAAGCCTGGGTTTTCTAGGACTGCCTTTTCTTGGGAGGGCTCAGCCACTCCTGGGGCTGCTTTTGAAGTTGACCACACATCTCTTTCTGCTGAGATACAGGTCCCCGTGGCCACTGATTTCCTGCACATTCTCCCTCAGGAGGTCTTCTTGGTACCTGAGACTCAGCATCCAAAGCTAAGCTCACCATCACCCCTCTCCACCGCTCCTTCTCCTAAGTCTCTGCCTTCCAGTCACCCCACCTGATCAGCTGGAGCCTCAGCTCCCAAATCCAGTTCCTGATTCTTAATGATTCTGCCTCAGACATAGCTCCTGAATCTGCCATTTTTCTGCATATTCAGCTGCCCTATCTGTCCGTACCAGTTACTGGAGGAAGTTTTCTAAAATGACTGCATCTGTTTAAAATGCCTCTCTGACTCTCTGATGTCTCAGGATATAGTCTGAACCCCCTCCCCAGGTTTCTTAGTCCCTCCATGCCCCTACACTTTTCCACTCCCCTGACTTTTCCTTCAGATATACCTCTCTTCCCTTACTTAGCCCTCCAAGCCTGCTTCAGGTGTCACCTCTTCTGTCACTAATGCTCAGGGGAGTACCTGCTCCCTACTCTGGCCCACTTCCCTTTAGAATACCTGGCACATGGTTGAGCCCCCAGACAGTGAGTTCCTCTTTGGATCTCCAAGGCTGGTTGAGGGTAGGTATCACAGTGAATGTGGAGTGAGTGGGTGACTGAATGAGTGACTAAAGGATGGTTAAATCTTGAACATCCTTGCTAGGTTCAAGTCCCCAGAGTCATAGTGGTCCTAGTGCAGGGTTCCCAGGTCTCACTGAGTGTATTGGCTGTCAGAGGCAGAGCAGATTCTTGGCAATGAGGTAGTTGGAGAGCTGGGCTGTAAATTCCAGGTCAAGCCAGGCTGGGGTGTTCAATAAGATGCCTGCATAGTTAGAACAGGGGATGGAAGGACAGCCAGAGGAGGGGCTGAGCATCAAGGCCCAGTTATGGTAGTGGGGTTAAGAATGAGAAGGGACATCAGTGTAAAAGGAGGAAGGAGGCAGGCTGGAGCTTGGTGGGTCAGAAATTCAACCCACAAGTAGCCTGGGGTTACCTAGGACCCTGTGGTTTTCTTCCATGCATTCTTGGAGCTCAGCAAAGGGACAGTGGGGGCAGAGTTGACCCCAGGACCTTGAGGAGTGAGGTGGGAAGGAGTCAGGAAGACGTCTTGTAGGATTGCCTCACTCATCCCTTCCTGTGGAGTAAAGGGAGGCCTTCCAGGAATGCTAAGCTGAGGGAAGGGGCTGGGAATTGATGGGGGCTGGGTGTCTGAGGCTGCTTCCTCCCTTCTCACCACATTTCCCTGCCCTCTTAGGCTCCTTACCCAAGTGGGTAGTGAATAAATCTTCTCAGTTCCTGGCTCCCAAGGTGAGTGGCCTTGAGACTTCAAGGTTCTGGAGGCTGGGGGAGAGGACATTGGGGATGTTAGGGTGAGGGGGTGGAAACAGGGATGGACACTGGGGCAGGGGGCAGGGGATAAGGGACCAAGTTATAAAACCCACAAGAGTTGGGAAACTGGTGGTGCTGGGAGGGGTTTGGGAAATTCCTAGTCCTGCTGGCACCCCTGACACTCGGGTATCGGGTCTGCAGGCCATGAAGAAGATGTACAAGGCATGTGTCAAGTACCCTGAGTGGAAGCAGAAGCATCAGCCACACTTCAAGCCATGGCTGCACCCAGAGCAGAGCCCATTGCCCAGCCTGGCACTGTCGGAGCTGTCAGTGCAGCACGCAGACTCACTGGAGAACATCGACGAGAGCGCAGTGGCAGAGAGCAGGGAGGAGCGAGTGGGTGGTGCAGGTGGCGAGGGCAGTGATGATGACACCTCGCTCACCTGAGTGCAGCACTGCTGCATGGACTGAGACCGGACTGGGGCTGAGCCCTGGGGCATGGATCCTCCCGCACTTCCTCCTGTCTCTCACCCTGCCTCCTGGGGGCCTTGGGCTGCGCCCAGGCGGCATTGCAGCCTGGCTGGACACAGCCCCAATAAACGATCCCACAGCCTCAGCTGGCTCTTCGCTGTGCCTGCTTCCCACCTGCTCCAGCACTGCCACTGCCCTGGTTCCCTGGTTCTTCAGTTAATTTTGTTAATGATATTATTGCTTGCCTGGCCTTTGATCCTTTGGGCATCTTATTTGCCCATATGTAGCTGGGGCAGTTATTACCCCCTTGTTCTGTCCATTTTCACTCATACATCCACCTGTCCTTGTTGCATGTTCACTTTTTGCCATTTGTTCCAGGCTATCTGATTGCCCTCAACTGATCTAAGGGAGGGAGCAGGCCTGACTATAGGCTTCTCATCATGGGTTGGAGAGTGGGGTTCTACAATGTGACCTCTGTTTCAAGGCCCCTTAGGTTCAACCTATGGAATGGATATCTGATGATCTCCTGTCATCACAGAAGGGAAGGGGATGGATCTGTAGGTCTCAGGCCACAGAGCTATGGGTCTCAGAGCTGAGGCTGAGGCAGTATATTATAGAGGAGGGAGTTCATGAGTGCAGGTGAGGGTCATTGACTCTACTGCAGTGGAAGGGACAGGCTCTGTTGTTGCACCCTTCTTAGTTTTTTCTGAAGGTTTCTGGACTCTGTTAACAGAAATGGTGGGGCCTCAGGCCTCCATCCCCTTTCTGGTGGCCAGATGCCAGCCTCCTTGCCCTGTGCTTCACCTGACTACTCTTAGATCTAGAGGTAGGCCTAGGCTTTATCTGTTCTTTGTGGCCTCTCTGTTGCCCGAGTGAGGGCCCTGTGTTCTGCTCCTCTCCGGTAATTTAGGTCCTATGCAAACTTGGGGCTTAAAATTTCTCCCCAAGGTCTGGCTTTTTTTTCCTTCTGGAAAGTTGCTTGCCTTAGTGCTGCCAGTGGAAGACATAATCTACTCAGAGTCAGGTCCTTCTGAGGGGAAAGGCAGATGGCTAATGAGGGTGGGCAGGAATTTCTGTCACTTACCTTGAAGGGTTCCAATCCCAGCTTTGCTCAATACTGGTTCTGTAACTTGGGGAAAGCATGGGAACTTCTTGGAGCTTCATTTCCTAATTCATAAACTGTGGTGACAATCTTTGCCTTCAAGCAAGTATGAGAATCGAGATAAAAGGAGTAAATTGCCCAGCACTATGCCTGGCATATAGTAGGTATTCAAATTAAGGGCATTTCTCTCTTATGGTAAACCCCTACACCCATCCTAGTGACAGCTGTTCTTCCAAATATCCCCACTGTGTATATGGAAAATACACAATGAAACCCAGAGAAAGTTAATGTCTCTGACTTAGCTGGACCTAGAAGTGCCTGCCAAGCCCTGGGTCCTCCTCTTTGTATGTACTGGAAGGAGAGGAAGAATTTCCATTTTAAGTTCATTGAAGGAGCCTTAGGTGCAGGTACCTCAGGCTGCAGGATACAGCTCAGTGATCCTGTGACAGGACTCTTTCTTTCCCACTACCCAGGGGGATGTGGGTCCAGGGAGAGAGGAGGGATACTCTTAAAGAATGTGGGAAGAACTCCCGGAGGAGGCGTTCAGGGACCACAGTCCTCCATCCTCCACCGCCCCCCCCCCCCCCTCCAAATCTCCTTCGCGTGTGGTGTGTTTATATGTCCGTGTCCCTTCCCAGGGCGCTGACTCACGGGAACAGGGGTGGCGAGGCAGGGAGACTCCGGGAGAGACGGAGACTCGGCTGCCTGTGTGCAGGTGGGGGGGGGGGGGGGGGGAGACTTGGCCTTAGGAGACCCGAGGACTTGCCAGCAGCAAGAAGGGAGGAGAGAGAATCAGACCCACAGGTCTGGCAGGCGGACCAACCCCGCGGACTCAAGGATCGCTACCAGGCTGGGGGCGGGGCGGGGCCGGGTCCCTGCCCCTTCTCCGCTCCCCCCTCCCCGGGGCGTCACGTGGGGCTGGCGGAAGCGCCCCGCGGGGTGGGCGCGACCGGCCGGCTGCCGCGAGTTGGCGGTGGCAGCTGGAGTCAGTAGCGGCCCCGGGACTTCAGGTCCCCGCGTGGACACTTCACAGGTCAGTGCTTCTGGCTTCCTTGGCCCCCGGTCCGCAGTCCCCTCTCCTGGTGTGTCTGCAGTTTCCCATACCTCGGAAGGGAACGCCGAGCCGCGCGGCTACCCAGCGCTGGGCTCCCACTTCCCTGGGTTATCTCCTCTGCTTTGCTTTTGGCCGGGAGTGGGATGGGGTGGGGGTCGCTGCTAAGGATGAACTGTTGGGTCAGAGCGGGCAGACACCGAGCTTCCAGCCCTCAGCCCCTCAGCATGAAGGCTCCCAGGCTCCGGAGCCAGCTCGCTCTCGGGAGCCTTGAAATTCTTAATTGTAAAATGAAAGCTCCCACCCCGTTGGCTGCTGCTGAGACCCTTAACCTTTCTGCAGAACCGTTTGACCCAGGGCCTTAGACCCGGGGCAGGCTACTTCCGGTGTCTGCACCTTAATTCTCGGCCGGTAAATGGGGGCATGGCCTCCCAAGAGCTTACCTGGCCCAATTGCTGGAAAAAGGAGGGCTGTGTTCACTGAATGGGGTCAAGCCGGAAGTAGGTGGTTGGGCCTGTAGAGCACAGGCTTGGAGTACCACCTGGGGACACAGGGTGGTAATTGGTCCCAGGTCTCCAGGAGTAGTTTTTGGTGCTGGGGAACTCTAATCAGGAGCCATCAGAGATGGCTTCTACTACATGCACTCACCCAAATCTCATGTCCTAGGGAGCCTTCTCTCGGGGGAGCCACACTAGTGGGGAGGGAGGGCTTCAGGGGAAGACATGGGAGGGATGTTTAGGAAAGTATTTGAATGCCTACAGTCTCAGGGTCCCAGACTGAGGCACTCATGATACCTGTCCTTCAAGAGCCAAGAGCACTCAAGCTGGGGGAGACCTCCCAGCAAGATCATTATAGAGTAGAAGGAATCCAGTGGAGCCATGAAGACAGGTATGGACAGGTACAGGCCCAGGGAGGAGGAGATGACTGGAATGGGCCTTGGCAGGTCAGTGGCAATTAGTGAGGTCAACAGGCCTTCAGGTGAGGGCATAGCTGTGCAGAGGCAGGAACCTGGATGGTGTGTTTGAAAAATGGCATGGAGATGGGTGTGGTTGCAAGGGGTGACAGGGGAGAGGTGTACAGAGAACTCATCCTTATATTCCAAGGGTCACTGGGGATTGTCTAGACCCTAGCCTAGGGACCCTGCCTCCCCATTGGCCATTTGCTCACTGGAGTAGTATAGGAGGGAGGTGTCCCAGGCAGAGTACTGACAACTATAGTGTGTGTGGTAGAGGAGGGCAGAGGTCCAATGTCCCTCATTGCCCCCAGGCTTTATTTGGGCATTCAGTCTCCTCCCTCAGTCCCAGCCTTACCTTTCACCATCTGGGCTCTAGTTATTTTTCTCCACACATCAAGAATCATTATTTTGTGCAGATTGCATGTCCTCCCCACACCCTCCAGAAGTTTTCTCTCTATCCATATCCCACGTTATTTGGGACTTTAGTTTTCAGAAATGGGCTGCTCACTCTTTCCAGCCCAGTCTTTCAGTCCTCTCTAATAGCACAAGTTAGGAAGGGTCTTCCTGGAGCTCTGTGGAATAAGGTACTGCAGCGCCATGGGACTAACTGGGACTTGGGACCTGAAGTCCCAGGGCACCACCAAGCACTGTCTGGCAAGACCCCATACTTCTCAGATCCTTCATTTCCCCATCTGCAGGATGGGGTGGTAATCCCTGGCTTCATGTCCCAAAGAGAGACTGTACTGGGGCAAAAATATGGTCTATCTGAAAATAAATCCTGCCCCCAGCATTGAGCATTTGAGTGAAGGAAAGAAGGAACCCAGGAAAAGTGGTCAGTTCAGGAGGGCTGCAGAGTACTGGGGCCAGTGGTGGACCAGGCCTAGGGCACTGGCTAGAGGGAGGGGAGTCCCCATCACCCTCCTGGGCCTCTCCCCTTCCCACTCCACTCTCCCTTGGCTAAGCTCAAAGCAGCCGCCAATGCCCAAACAAGTGGCCTGTGTTCCCAGGGGAGGGGGAGGGGAGGCAGGCCCTGGGCTCCAGGCCCGTCTGTCCAGCGTCCAGTACTGACCCTGGCCCCCGCCCCTCTCTCTGGGTCTTAACCCTTGGGGGCCTGGACTGGGTTCTGAGCTGCTTGAAGGCTGGTGCTTCTTGCCCACCCTGTTTTAGGTTTTCAAGGGTTCTTTCTACCTTGTTTTAGGTTTTCAAGGGTTCTGTGAACCATGGGGGAATGCAGTAGGGTATCAGTTGGAAATGGGAAAGAAAGGAGGGATGAGGGATTGGGGAGAGGCCCCCTATGGCAAATAGAGCCATGAACACTTAGACACCACTTGGCTCAGAAGCTTCTTTTGCAGATGATGACACAGAATTAAGGGCCCCGAGATCAGACCAGGATCACACAGGAAGCCTGGGCAGGGGGCAGGAAGTATCAGGACAAGTAGACTCCTAGTCTGGGGAAAGGGAAGAAGAGAGGGAAACTTTCTCTGAGAATCTACCAGGTACGGAGGCTATCACTGCTTAAGAGGAGAATCAAAGAGGAAGACACTGAGCCTGAAAGAGTTTAGTACTTACATTAGTGAGTACTATGTCGGCAAACATGCATATAGTGTTGTAGGCATCTTCATGTCTGTGTGTATATAGATATGCATATACATACACACATGTGCATTTACACAGTTCTGGGACTAAACCCAGGGGTGTTCTACCACTGAGCTACATCCTCAGCCCTTTTACATTTTATTTGAGACAGGGTCTCACTGAGTTATCCAGGCTGGCCTCAAACTTGAGATCCTCCTGCATCAGCCTCCCAACTTACTAGGATTACAGGTGTGCACCACCATACCCAACTACTTTTATGTATATTAACCAATTTTATCCTGCCCACAACCAGAGAGATTAGGTGCTGTTTTACAGATCAGGAAACTGAGGCAGAGTGAGGCAGAGTAACTGGCCTTAGTAACAGTGGATTAGGGTAGTGACAAGATCAAGACTCAGGCAATTCCTTGCCTCCTTTAGCCTGATTTCCCCTCTCCCAGGCTACTGTCACCCCTGGAGCCAGGGTCTTGCTCAGTGAGGGACTTTCCCTGGGTGATGGCCAGTGTCACTTTGAGCCAAGTGTGTCCCCAATCAGGCAGCCCTGGGCCCTCCTTCAGAAGTAGAATCCATCCCTTGGGCAGCTCCTTGCACCCCATCTTCTGGTCTCAGCCCCCTCCACAGCCCTATACAGAGGGAGATTTCATGTTTTACTGAGGAGAGGGATTCTTCACTGAGAGTGGCCACGTAGGTCTGAACAACATAAGGATATGAGGGACCCAGACATCTGCCTCCAGTGTGTACTCCCCACGAAGCTCAGGGCCTGCCCCGATTCAACACTAGGGTCCTCCAGCTCTGGTCAAAGAAGACATCTTGTCCATCTATGCTCACCCCTGGGCAGACCCCCAGACCTGTACATTCCAATAATGACTCTGGGGTAGACAGTCCTAGCTCAAAGAGGCAGATGGTGCCAGGTGTCTGGGAGAGTCTGGGGCTATAATGCTTGGTTCATCTTTGCACAGTCTTCCTTTGCAATGTCTCTCATCTTTTAGGTGATAGTTCAGGAAGGACAAGCTTATCTCCCATAATTAGTATATCTGGCCAGGCACTGTAGTGCATGCCTATAATCCCAGCGACTTGGGAGACTGAGGCAGGAGGATTGCAAGTTCAAGGCCAGCCCAGGTAATTTAGCATGACCCTGTCTCAAAATAAAAAATGTGCTGGGGATGTTGCTCAATGGTAAAGTAAAGCACCTCTGAGTTCAATCCCCATTACCAAAAGTAAAAAAACAACAACAACAACAAAAAAAAACACATTAGGACATTTGCCCTGGATCATTGGGATGGTCAAGAGTGGCTGAGAGGGGATATGGACTTAAGTAACCAGTTCAATAACATTGTGATTTAGTTTAGTAGAAGTAAATTATTTAATTATAGTTATAATAGCATAACTATTGTTTCTTGGAAGCTGTGCCAGGCAGTGTGCTAAGAATTTTGCATACTGATTTCCTTAACAATAATTTGATGGGGTAAACACCACTCCCATTTTATAGATAAGGAAACTGGTCCCAGAGAAGTTAAGTTATTTGCCCAGGACCATCTACTGGGCATTTGAATTTCTTTTGCTTCAGTGGGAACCCTGAGCATGGGGAGGCATTGCAGACAGAGGCATTGCAGTCCCAGCCTGGGGACTCCCAGTTGGAGTCACAGGCAGAGAATAGAGCGCCACCTGTTCAGGTGATACACTGGTGCCCAGCTGTGGAGCCAGGATCCCATCAAGGGTTTCCTGCTTGCAGACTGGACTAATTACTGTTGAGTCCGGAGTCCCCAGGAGCCCAGGGCACCTTCTGGAAGACTGATTTCTGCTCTTGTACTGTTTGGTCCAACCTGACTTTTGGTAATACAGTGGTTTTTGGATGAAGAGACTGAGGTCAGTAGAAGGTAAGTGACTTACTAGCAGTGAGCCAAGAAAACAGAGGGCTGGGACAGGAACCCAAGTTGGTGGGGGCTGGGGGGGGGCTCTAAGATGTACTCAACCCCTGCCTGGGGCCTGGTTGAACCCCCTGAAGCCCTGAGCTTCCTCAGACACTTCCCACATTGACTTGCAACAGAAGCCAATCTTTCTTCCTGACCAAACCCAGAGCCAGTTCCTCCTAAGGTGCCTGGGATCTGCCACAGTAGGGTGTCAGTGACTGACCAAACCTAGGAAATATTCCTAGAGCCAAGAGGCCAAGATGCAGAGCCCACCTGTGATCAGGAATGTGATGCTCATGACCAGAGGGGTCCAAGGAGGGCTTAAAGGGTCAGAGTCCCCCATAGAGGGATATGGTAGAGTCTTCCTCCTTATCATTGTCTTCATTGTCATGAGGGCAAAGGTAAGGGCAAGAGGGGGAGACCTCTTATGACCATTCCTCTGTCATCATCCCAGGCCAGGGACCAGGGGCCATACCTGGAATCTTAGCTGCCCAGAGGCCCTGGAGGATCCTGGCCTGGTCTGG